TTGAGACAGGGTCTTACTACGTAGTTCAGGCTGGTCTTGAACTCACTATATAGCCCAGACTGGGGCCTCAAAGTCATGGTGATCCTCCTGCCTCAGCTGCCTGAGTGCTGGGATTATAGGCATGTGACACCACTCCTGGTACAATGCATATCTTGATCATTTAATCTTACCACCCTAGGATTAATAGTTGTTAAATATAAAGGGAAACACTAAAAAGCTTTAAAATTTATTCCTATAGTAAAAATAGCTCTGTGTTGTTTTGTTTTCCATGTAGAGTTGCACAGGCACATAGCGGGGATTTAGCTGTTCCCACCTGTTTTGAGAGCACAAGGCCCCTAGTTCGATCTCCAGTACCTGCCCCCCAAAGTTAATAGGTACTGTGAAAATATCTGTAAGAGGATTTTGGCTAATTAAGACCATTTACCATGGAGGAAGCATAAAGCTGTTTTCCTTGAAGACAGTCTATCATAGTCCACAACGCCTCCATGCTCCACTCGGGACAATATGGAATTCTTGTCTTTCCTGTGTCCTTTAAAGGAGGTTTAAACCCTGCCAAGCGAACCTTTATGGCTTGGGCGGGATACTGCATAAGATGAAGAGGAATCTGACACAGTCTGTCACAAAAAAATTATGAAAATTCAGAATATCAATTCAAAATTTCTTACAAGCTAAACTCAGAAGAAAATGTAAGGGCAAGGCTTCGCGATGGATTCTAGAATGATTTTTTTGGGTTATGATACCAAAATCACAACCAACAAAATATAAATCAGGTGAAGGCAGCCTGTAGATGAGAAAAATGCATTACAAATGGACATTTCTCAAAAGATATGGGGGGGGGTTAAAGCTGTGCCAAAATGCTCAGGACCATAGATTGTTTAGGAATGAAATTGGACCCACAGTGAAATGCCACACATTAGGGTGACTACTATCAAGATACCCCCACCCGCGAGAAAAAACAAAGTAATTGTTGGTGAGACTATGGAGAAAAGGTGATCCTCAATGGCTTTGGTGGGAGTGCGGAAGTAGTGCAGCCACTATAGAACATGTCCCTTAAACACTAGGAATGGAGGGGCCAGCGATCTGATCAGCAGTTCCATTTCTGATATGCCCAGAACAAATGAAAGCAGGGTCTCAGAGAGATTTATACACACGTTTGTAGGAGTATTGTTCATAATAAGCATCATGGATGGCTGAATGGGTAAGATGTGGTCTATACGTAAAACTATGAAGGGAGGGAAAGGGAAAGGGAAAAAGTCAGGTACAGGTACAAGTTCCATATGAATGTGATCACTACATATATCTAAATTGTACCAATGGACAACTAAAAATTTAAGAATGTATACATATATTTGTTAATTAAGAGCTACAAACGTTTGCAAAAGTGAAGGGGACCAAGAGAAAGAAGAAGGGTGGGAGAGGGAAGGAGAGAGAAAGAATTTGTGTTATGTACATGTCCCAGTGCCCCGTGATGACTGTAATCATTATGTACTGCAGCCATATAGTAAAAAAAAAAGGCT